CAGAAATACCAACAACAGCGCACACACAACTGCAAGTTGACACCAATCCTCCAACGAAAGCTGAAGTCTTGAATGCAATCAAGCTTCTGAAAGCTGGAAAAACAGCCGGACCAGATGGAATACCCCCTGAAGCACTGAAAGCAGACCCAGAGACGACAGCAGACATGCTGACTCCATTATTGCAAAAGGTCTGGAAGGAGGGAAAGGTGCCTACTGACTGGAGGAAAGGTTACCTCGTGAAACTACCAAAGAAGGGCGACTTAGGACTCTGCAAGAACTGGCGAGGAATCATGCTCCTATCGACGCCAAGTAAAATCCTGAGTCGCATCATCCTGGAGAGATTAAAGGACGCACTGGAGACAGAACTCCGACCAGAACAAGCTGGATTCAGGAAAGGCAAATCATGTACTGACCAAATTGCAACTCTACGCATCATCATCGAACAAAGCATGGAATGGCAATCAAACCTCTACCTCAACTTTATAGACTTTGAGAAGGCCTTCGACAGCGTTGATCGTGAAGTAATTTGGAAATTACTCGAGTACTATGGCGTACCCCAAATATTCATCAACCTTATTCAACAGCTGTACGACAACGGCACCTGCCAAGTGATCCACAACGGAAAACAGCGAGGCGTTTGGAGTAAACACAGGAGTCAGACAAGGGTGCTTACTATCACCAATGATATTCCTAATTGTGGTGGACTGGATTATGCGTCAGACAGTGGGAAACGAGAAGACAGGAATATCCTGGACCGACGTGAAGAACCTAGAAGACCTGGATTTCGCGGATGACTTATGTTTGATGTCACACACAATCGAAGACTTACAAGCGAAAACCGACAAACTGGTCGAAGAAGCAGCAAAAACAGGACTCCAGGTAAACATAGACAAGACGGAGGTTATGAAAATAACCAACCAACAACAGCAACAACATCCAACGTCAATCACCATCAACGGGAGGGATTTGAAAGAGGTTACTTCATTCACTTATCTAGGGAGCATTGTCTCAACTACAGGAGGAGCGGACGAGGATGTCAAATCGAGGAGAATCGGTAAGGCGGCGAGAAACACATTCATCAGCCTGAAATCAATCTGGAAATCTTCGTCACTCAGCATCACCAACAAAATTCGGATTTTCAATACAAACGTAAAGTCAGTTCTTCTATACGGATCAGAAACTTGGCGGGTGGGTCACAAAGAATATTTCCAAAAGGTTGCAGACCTTTATTAACAACTGTCTTCGCTCAATACTGAAGATCAGATGGCCGGAAAGAATCACCAACAAGGAATTATGGGAACAAACAAAGCAAGAACCAATCGCCCAACAAATATGCAGGAGAAAGTGGAGATGGATCGGACACTCGCTGAGGAGACCGCTGGGTGACATCGCGCGCCAAGCCCTCGAGTGGAACCCGAAAGGGAAGCGGCGTGTGGGACGTCCAAGGGTGACATGGAGGAGATCGTGTGAAGAGGAGTTGAAAGAATATGGATTAACATGGATGCAGGCGAAAAGTATAGCAGAAGACAGAAGAAAATGGAGACGTGCAGTTGAAGCCCTATGTTCCACTAGGAACCCAAGGGAGCAATAATAATAATAATAATAATAATAAATTCTTGTAATCAGAGATCGTCTCACTTTTTCATCCTTGTTATTGATAGAGTCATTATTATTATTATTATTATTATTATGATTATGATTACGACTAATAGCACAATTCATATGCACAATCTTATCTTATCCTATTGACGAAACACCGTGATTGGTTTATATATATTTTAATATTTATTAATAAAGTTATGTAGGCAGATTAGAGTTAATAAAGCCTGATGATGATGAAGAACTGACGAGGAATAATGCTCTTGTCGACGCCAAGTAAAATTCTGAATTACATCATCCTGGAGAGAATAAAGGACTTGCTGGATACAGAATTCCGACCAGAGCAAGCTGGATTCAGGAAGGGCAGGCAAATCATGTTCTGACCAAATTCCAACTCTATTCATCATCATCATCACAGAACAAAGCATGGAATGGAAATCAAACCTATACCTCACCTCAACTTTATAGACTTTGAGAAGGCCTTCAATAGACAGCGTTGACCACGAAGTGATTTGGAAACTACTCGAGTTCTACGGCGTACCCAAAATATTCATCAACCTTATTCAACAGCTGTACGACAACAACGGAACATGTCAAGTGATCCACAAAACCGAAAAACTGGTTGAAGAAGCAGCCGGCGAAGACAGGAATCCAGGTGAACATAGACAACACGGAGGTTGTGAAAATAACCAGCCAACAACAACAACAGCACACATCCAGTGCCAATCACCATCGACGGGGTAGATTTGAAAGAGGTTACTTCGTTCACTTATCTGGCTAGGGAGGATTGTCTCAACTACAGGAAGTCAGAACGGACGACGATGTCAAATCGAGCGGGAATCAGGAAGGCAGGCGAGAAACGCATTCATCAACCTGAAACAACCAATCTGGAAATCTTCGTCACTCAGACAGCATCAACAACAAAATTCGGTCGGATTTTCAATACAAACAACGTCAAGTCAGTCAGTTCTTCTATACGGAACGGATGAGAAACTTGGCGGGCCCGTCACAAAGAATATTTTCAACAGGTTATTGCAGAACTCCCTTTATCAACAACTGTCTTCGCTGGATCTATACTGAAGATAGATCAGATGGCCGGGCCGGAAAGAATCACCAACAAGAAACTATGGGAGCAAACAAACGAAACAAGAACCAATCGCCAACCAACAAATATGCAGGAGAAAGTGGAGATGGTTTGATTGGACACTCGCTCGCTGAGGAGCCCGCCGCTGGGTGACATCGCGTGCCCGTCAGGCCATTTCTCGAGTGGAACCAGGCCGAAAGGGAAGCGGCGAGTGGGACGTTAGTGCAAGGGTGACAGGAGGGAGGAGATCGTAAGAAGAGGAGGTGAAAGAGTATGGACTAAGATAGATGCAGGTGAAAAGTACAGCAGAAGGAAGGTAGAATCAAGTGGAGACGTACAGTTGAAGTCCTATGTTCCACTAGGAACCTAAAGGAACAATAATAATAATGATAAGCCTGATGAGATGTAATTGAAAACGCAATACTGTTCTCTCGAATGTGTTGTTCTGTATATATATATATATATATGTTTCGTACGCCACTCTTTCTCACTTCCTGACAAATACTACACGCCCATACCCACCCGATTACAGATTCATCGAGAGTTTCAATCCAACGGAAGTGCACTGATGAGACTGCAACTGCGTTCTCAGCACACACGTGATCACCGTGACCCCAGAAATAGGTAGGTTGTTTTCGTTCTGGCATATTCTTTATTAGATATCGCACATAAATCAACAAAACCACCTCATTTAATACTACTTAGAACAGAAAAGTGAAGAGCGAAAAAAGACAAAATCAATACCATATACAAAATAATTGCCATGAACTATGGCAAGCTCTCTACTGGTTAAAGTGGACATTCTCTTCAACTGCTAACCCAAGTACATAAACTATCCTTCAGAAGACATAGTTATTTTCTTTCATATCAATGCATGTAGCCTACTAAAAACATTGATTTCACCGAAAAAACGTAGGAGTTTTAAACAGTGGAAACAAAAGAAACCTGACACTCGCACGAATTGGTGATCAGCGGACAAACAAACATAGATTAAAGGATTTCATCATGAGCTGACATCAGTTAGAGAACCATTGGGAAACTTGGGAGTACTGGGCAGCTAATTCGTTGGGGTTCGCACCCAGGACCTTCTGGTTACAAGGCTAGCGAGCTCGTATACCATTAAGCCAGTGGGACCCGATCCAATGGCCCATGAATTCTAACTTTTTCCAATTCATAACATAGCGCGACCCCTAGCCAATGACATTCGTGGCGAGCATTTGTCCTCACATCAGACCTGCTGCATTGTACTGGTCACGACTTCTCAGGTTTTCTGATGGTTCTCTAACCAATGTCAGCTCATGATGAAATCCTGTAACCAACCAAATCCCTACAAACCAACACTTAAATATAGATTAAATTTAACAAATATTAGAGAAAAAGCTATAACATGAATAAAATGTCATATTTCAAGTCAATAAAAAGGATCTGTGTTGACGCAGATTAACAGGTAATGACAGCACAGGGTTGTGAGAAAATACAATTCTATTATTTACAGAGAAAGAGTTCAAATAACTTCAGTTCACAATGTGGAGTTCGCGCCAAAGGTACTGTTTACAAGGAAACAATGAAGAAGAAATTCTGACTTTTGTCCACCCTGTGTATATTACAGTCTGATATACCAGTGTGGTGAGAGCTGTCCGCTAAACGAAATCGGTAGACAGCAATTTACGTCAATGTTTACGTCGCAAATCTTGATCATGAGAATAAAACAAGAACAAGGCCTAACCTTGAGGAACTCAACAACCAATCACAGTAGACTTAGCGTGGGCGGATACGATTCGCAGATATGCCACCAGACTGTCTAAGCAACAGCAACAAAGAATTGAGCGAATAACCTTCAGCAGGAAAACAACCAATAATAAGACGTCACCACTCCACTGATAGTAATGTACACAAAAACTCCTCAATAAACGATCTGTTGCCTGTCCCATGTCTTCTATCGTTACAGCAGTATTCACTGACCCAATTACTATATGCCCTACGAAGTTCATAGCTATGAGTTCTTTGTGCATCGATTCGTTCAGGGGTAGAATGTTCGCCATCCATATATATGTGGCTCGGTGTTTGATTCCCAGACAGTGGACTCCCGAACCTCGCTTAGCTGATAGTAGACTTAGCGAAGATGGAAAGTTGGACTTAAGAACAGCAACGCCATCCAGTAAAAAGAAATCATATCACTGCCACTGAAACTCTAGATCTCAAAGCTTGAGACCCTATGTTCCATTGGAAACTTAAAGGAAAATTAAATTCAGGTATCCAAACAGGTATCGCATTAAAATGGCATAAAGTTTTTTTTTACTTTTCTTTTGCAACTTACTAGTCAAGTCTTTCCAGAAATGATGTAATTTGTTCTGCAGCATCCTGTAATGTACCTAAGATTGAACGAATTTTATTCAGCTTTGTTGTGAAGCTGGTTTTCTTGTCCTTCTATAAAAATAAACAAAAAGAAAGACGATGGTAATGACGACGATGATGATGCTGATTAGAATAATTTGATCACGTAATTCTATTGTGTATGCTTTTTTCTCTTGTTCCCTCTCTCTTCCTGTATTCTATGTTTTATTCTCTTATGAGGATTTTGAATAGTCCGCCATTAAGTTGCTGTTGACGCTGATGATGTGCACATATTACTCTTCTTGTTAACAATGTCATCACCTGAAGAATAAACTCACTTCCTGTAGTTTGTATTAAGTATTGTTAAGAAATATAATGATGAAATATGAGATAAAGTAAATCCCTAAAGATTCTCTCTCTCTGATTTTGTCTATAAAATAAAGTGCTTCCTTGGAATGTGATGCACGATATACATTGGACAAACATCCCCAAAGAGAAATCAGAAGAGATGAAGACTGTAGAGCATCTGTGTTCGACCACCAGGAAATAAATCAAGTTGAAATAGAACAGCTTGAAAAATCATCAGCCAGCCATAGGTCATCTACACGCTACGCTATAGAATCAATCAGGCCATAAAATTGATTTTGACAATATTGAAATCATCATCCAGAAAAAGCACTTCAGAAACCAGAAAGAACGTTTCATATCCTCAGAAGCACTACATATCATCAAATGCAATCCAAATTGTCCGAATAGGAATGATGGACCTGGTTACAACACCCTACCCCACTCCCCATGAAGTGACCAAATCAACACGAATGTGTTAAACAATTTCATTATGAAAAACACACATGCTGCTTCGGTAATTTTATACACTTATCAAACCCAACAGTTATCTACACCTGGTTTTGTTATCTTTACCAATTGGTCAATTTGACAACAACGTAAAAATATCCGCATGCTGAGGGACGATGATTAAGTTGTTATGTAATATAAGCTGAGTGGGTTTTGTAAATTCTGGTTTAATATTACTACTTTGATAAAACTATTAGAAGCAGCATTAAATAGTGAAGCTTCAGTCAACGCAGCAATATTGTTTTGTTTTTCATTCATTGGGAAACACAAAAACCTTTATTATAATGAATATCATATACCCAATGCCAAATTTTTCAAACCGTTAAAAGGGAACTTGGTTTGGACATATATATAAGAGTGGACTCTATTCATCTTTTCCATATTTCTTCCCATACCTTCTGTGTGTGTGTGTGTGCATGTTTGTGGACGCTTGCGTACTCACTAGACTGTGGATTAAAACAAGATTGATAATGTGCATGAAACTCAGTTAGTTAGTAATCCATTACTCAGAACAGATACGATTGCATTACACTATCTGAAACATGTAGGGAGTGATAAGAAAATGGGACTAATTATCTTAAATGTTAAATTAGAATTTAACATAATCACTGGATTGCCTAAAACTTGGGCTATCAAAAAACTTCCTTTCTCTCTCTCTCTCTATTGTATATATTTTCTCTCATTCAGTTTGTTCTGATCGACTAAGATATAACCTCTAATAGGGGTATTATCTACTCTTGGGTATAATTAAAATGTTTACGAATTCTAGCCTGATTCTCAAGTTCCTACTAGACTTGAGGAATGGTCTGACTGTGGGGTTGACAATGTGTTCCAATACAACATGGGATAACTGTTCTTCAATTATATCCTTAGGTATCAAAATGTACTTCGGAACATCTTACAATTGACTTCCAGCCTAGATCGATATCGTGGATTTCTTGAAGGAAGGAGACAAAGCAGATATGTCATCCTAGGGGAATGGTTTGTGCTTCAGCTCAGAGAGAAAGAGCATTGTGGCACAGAAAGGATATACTGTCAATCAGTTATTATTTTACTTGGAGATATTGTACGAAGGGAGGAAAATCATATGATAAACTCGTCTGGAATTTCTGTACATTTTATAAATACTGTCCAGAATAAATGTTATCATCAATAAAAGTTTTTTTTGATTTATAATCACAAGTGCGACAATTAAAGACAGTTCAAAGTGAAAATAGCAATACTACTACTACTAATAATAATCGTAGTAATGGGGGGAGAGTACATAGATTAACTGAATAAACAAAATAAATTAATAAATTAAAACAATTAGTGCCTCTGATAAATTTGAATCAGACATTCAGAAGACAAATTTCGCGAGATGATATCGTCACTTCGTAGTTTCTTTACAACCGCTTTACAACTAACATGGTTAACAATAATAAAATAAAGTTCATGACAGTTACTTAGTTATTAACCTACCATTCAAGGGCGACCGGATTATGCATTTGACAGCTCAAAGACTTCGTTCAGCCATCAAATTCACATTCTACACCGCATCTCTTTTTCTCACATGCCGAACATTTTCGATCCCTGTACCTACGATTAAAGGACGCAATTCTGTGGACTTTATTTCAAACTGTATCTACAAGTTCACCTGCAGCTGCGGTGACACTTATATAGGTAGAACCAACAGAATGTTCCAATGTCATCGAAAAGAACATGTTCTAAAATGGCTACTAAATCATATAGAAAATTCCAACGCGATTAATCTGAATAGAAATCCATCATCATCCATTGCAAAACACTTATAAATGTCAGGTCACAAAATCAATATTAACGAATGTTTCGCAATTATTTCATGCCATAACTCTAATTCAAGGTTGATGATTGAAGGTGATGGAAGCACTTTGGGGATTAATCACATACAGCCTAAACTGTGTGTACAGTCAAAACAATAGACTTCAATCTTCGCCTACCATGAACTGACTACATGACCTATCTAAATATGATTGGTCATTAGTATGTACTTTTGTTTTTTATTTAACAGAGCCATAATATAATTCATGAACTTTATTTATTTTATTATTGTTAACCATGTAGGTTGTAAAGCATTTGTGAAGAAACTATGAAATGATGATATCATTTCGCGAAATTTGTCTTCTAAATGCCTTATTCAAATAAATAAATGTCTATCCCTCTACGGACAAGGCAGAATTAGGGATTATAAATATGTCTTTGGTACAGAAAGGTCGTATCAAGAGAATGCTTTGCACACGGATACGACAACGTATACCGGAATGGTTTTACAAAGGAGAAAGGAAATCTGTGCGAAGCTCTATTGTAGAACACTTGATTGACTTCTGTCATTGTACCAACCCTGACCATGATTTTAAGATCAGTATCTATCGAATCCATGCTAACTTGACGGCCGCGTTTTCTTCGTTATAAACTTTTAAAGACAGCGGAGGCCTTGGCCATTCATGACATTAAGCCAGTCAGACCTTATATTTACGGTAACAGGCGCTAAATACCAATAGAAACTGCTCATTCAATATTGCACACATGATAAGAAGAAAGATAATTAAAATGATGTATTAAGGGTGTAGGTGAACTGGTGGCACCGGGGTAGAATGCTCGCCAGCCATGCTACACACGGTTCGGGGTTCAATCCCCGGACACAGACGCATTCCTTTACCTCGTTAAGACGAGTAATAATACTGATAAAGAAGGAAGGGTAGGAAACTTCAATCCCCTAAAAACGAATAAACACCACTGCTAACAAAACTTCAAAGCTCTAGCTTAAAGCCCTATTTTCCACTGGGAACGTAAAGGAGTTAAAAAAATTAACGGGGTACAGTTGAAGTGCATGAATTACAAAACCTCTAAAGATTATTAAATATGTGAACTGGCATAAAGAGTTTAAAAATGCAGGTCAAGTCTTGTCTAAAAAAAAATTAACAGTGTGATGATGATAACAGTAAAGACGATGAAGATCAAGTGAAGTGTGGAATGAATTCATGTAGTAAAATAGAATAAAATAAAAGAACATTACTATGATCAAGGTAAAGAAAGGAGTTTCACAAAACGTCTTCGAACCTATAATTTAGGTTTTTGTCCATTTATAGCTAGAGCTTCGGCTGGTTATGCATTAGTGGAGAAAACGTAAGCTTTTGGAGTGATTGTTTATGGTCCTGTAGATAACTTTAAAGGATAAATCACGTGGTTCTGAATGACACGACTCTAGAAGGTGCTTACAAATTCAAGACTTTAACTAAGAAAACTGGGTAGTGTTCAGCTATGCGTTTACGTAGAACACGCTTATAACGTCCAATGTAATCAGCTCCACATTAGTATGTGAATGAGTATATGCACACACACACATCCTTGATGCAGTGTCGAATCATATTTCTACCAGTAAATACTAAATGCATAAGTTAGCTGTCTGTCTGTTTTCGACATAGAACTTTGCACTGATGTGTGACAGTTCGAGTTGCCCCACTCCATGAGCACTCCACAAAGCAAGAGAAGAAAGTAGAAGAAGTGCATAATAGAGACAGTAAGCAGAGGTGTGAGACAAATGAATAGTAATAACGAAGAACAATATAGTTTCATTGGAAATCATAAGTCACAGGAAGTGGATGCATCTTCCCCAGCCGGCCACTGAGAACGATTTTGAGCCATGTCACCAATTGTTTCCAACCATTGGTTTTTACCGTCCCGAGGACCTCAACCAGTCAGGAAGTCTACACCTTCCTACGTGGCTTAAACTAACTGTTGTGGATTTCATTGACTGGTGCCATGTTTTGGTTTGACCGCCGCTAGCTCTTTTCCAGCCTGACCCTATGTCAGCTAACACTGGCCATCGGTCGAGGAAGGCGATGACTAGGCATACGTAGCACATGTCCTAACTAGCTCAATCGATGTAACTTCACAGCCTCGTCGATTGATTTCCCCTCCTTACCTAGCTAGCACTAGAAGCCTTACCTCAATATTGCTCGCCTTATTATACCACTTCACACTGGAGATAGAATGCAGACACCTATGGTCAAAGACAACTAATCTTTCCATGTCTTCCACTCTCAACGGTCTGGCGCGTCGGTGGCACACTGCTTACGACGCTCGCCGATCATGCATATGGTTCAGGGTTCGATCCCCGGCCGACGCACTCCTTTACCTCGCTAGGCCAAAAATAATGCTTGTAAAGTGGGAAGGCTGGGCATGAGGCTAGCAACCCCATCCTGTAAAAAATAAGCACTGCTACAGAAACTTCAGGCCACTAGCTTGAGGCCCTAGTTCCACTGGGAACGTGAAAGAAGAAAAAACTCTCAATGGCCAAGTCTCACAGCTAGCCATAAAGGAGAACGGAGCGTACTGCTGAGCAGTACACCCGCCCTTTGGTCGATAGCCGGATATCACGTCTACGACAGAGATGGCATAAACTGGCATATGCGAAATTAGCCCTCTGTATCCGTGCTGAGAATTCGTCAGAGATCAACCTGTTAGCACTGGCTGATGGTACTTCACAAAAAAGTGAGGCGGTCAACATGCTCTACCAATTCACTCCCTATTTCTAAACTAGGAGACAGTGTATTCCGTTCCTGTAACATCATCTCGCATTTGGCGGGAGCGAATCTCATGCCGCACATTCGTAGATTGCAGCTCAAGGTGTTCAGAAGACTCTGCATTTTGTCAGAGTTAGCTGCATAAACTGCTTCAATGGCTTTTTCCGTAATATAAATAAAACTGCTGTACAGTTTCTTGAAAGTGAATTCGATGAAAAGAGATATTTCTTCGCTGAAGAAAACACCGTGTTTTCCCTTATGGACTTTAAAATGGAATATTTTCAAAAAAATGCTTCCCTTGTAGAACAGGAATCTTCATTAATTTCACTGTAGAATTAATCACCAAGGAAAATCAGTTGAAGAAGCATTGAACAACGAGTGAAACTAGAAATATATCTTTTCTTAGTTGGGTATTCTACAGAGGTTTACACTTGTGAACCCCTAAGGATCGAAACTTTGCCCCCCCCCCCCCCAGTTGACTTAGCCAGCTGAGTGGTAAACGAGTTGACCTTGTAACTACAGCCTCCTAGGGTTGATCGTAGATGGCAGTCGTAGGCGTGCATCTCTGATGGATATTAAACTAAGACGAAACAAGCCATCCGGTAATTCACTCAGGGATGATGAAAATACAAAATATTATTGAAAAAAAACTACATATGAATTCAATTGGTTATACAGAATTACCTTTTTCCTTAAAATAGCTTCATCTTCATTGTCCATATCAGAATAATAAGCATAATTCTAAAATTGAGTTTTTTTTAATCGATCAATATTTATTAGTGTAAATTATAATTTACCTCTGGATGTATTATATCCTGATCGTCATCATTCTAAAAAAAAAGAAAATAAGTAGGCACATACTTTAAATATACTAGAGAAAATGTAAGCTACTGAAATATGTAATTAAGTAGGTAAAAATTATTGTCAAAATATTTCTATTCAAAGGTCCTGGAATAATGGTGAAACGAATAAAAGTGATTATGTCAAAAAAACTAACAAGTGACCTTTGAGGCTTGATATCGAAGTAAGATCCGATGAGAAGTTAGATATTCTCATGAGTAATGAGAATGCTAAGTACTGAATATTATAGAAACTTTTCAAGAATTACCTTGTAGGGATTCTGTTTGTTTCAGGTTAAACCACGGATTGATACCAGTTAGAGAATTATTGGAAACCGGGAAACACTGGAAAGCTGTTTTATCCTAGTTTGGGACGCATTGAGAGTAATGAAAACAAAACACGTCGATCGACGAAGAGACTCTTTTCGGCTAATTCGAGTTCCACATCAAGTTCCACATCATTGAGAGTGCGCAAACCCTGGGTTTTAGACCCATGACTTTCGGTTACAAGGCCGACCCGTAGACCATTCGGCCATTAGGAACTGACTCAATACCCAGTGCATGGATTCTAACTTCTACCGATTCATGATTTTACCACGACCATCATCAGCGGGAACTCCATCTAAAACTAGGATGAAACAGCTGTCGAGTGTTTCCTGGTTTTCAATAGTTCTCTAACTAACATCAGTTCGTGGTCTCACTCGAAATTATAGAAAGTAGTGGTTGGTGGCGACTACAAATGGGTATCCAAGATGAGTATTCCGTTCTGCTTGAAACTCGTCAGTTGAATATACCTACATTCTTAGTGAATGATTTTTCGCTCTTTAAGATTCGAGCGCAAAACCCATAATTTTGACTGCCAGAATGTCATCCACTTTGAATACCACAGATAGCTGTAGAATCATTTAGCGAAAAAGACTGAAGTGAACATCATGTATTCCACTAACAAAATAGAATTGTGTTAATCCTCAGAAATCGTCGAAGCATCCTCATTAGGGTCTCAAAAACAAGTAAAGCAAGTCATATTTGTAACGATAGAAGACAAAGGAACAGGCAACAGATCCTTTAATGAGGAAAACAAGAGATATTTATAGATTTTTATGTACACTATTGTCAATGGAGAAGTGACGACTTCTGATTGGTTTTTTTCCTGCTGAAGGTTATTCCGCCATCTCTTTGTGGCCGTTTCTTTGAAGGTCAAAAACCATAAATCTGCGAATCGTATCCACCCACGCAAAGTCTGCTATGATCGGTTGTTGAGTTAGTCTTTTCCTTTTACTTTTTCTCATGACCCCGATTGGAGACGTAAACATTGACATATAAACTGCTGTCAACCAGTTTTTGTCTAACAGACAGCTCTCAACACAATGTGATTAACTATCACCATCTTAATAGTAGATAGAATATAGGAGCTTTATAATTGTGTGAATTCACTCTTTACACTCTCTCATAGTTCCCTTTTACTTGTCCGTCATTTTTATCTTTGTTGCACGTATTGAGGCGGTAGTAACACTATGCTGATATGGTAACTTTTTTTCTATTCTTTGTTGAGCAAGGTGCATTTGAAGGAGAAGTGAGGCGGGTAGGAGGAGGGTCGACATTTGAGTTCCGAGACACTAGGTGAATGTCAACTATTCACCTAACAGAATTTGAAGATAATAGTTCCAATCTCTGGTGACTGAATAGATGAATTATACTGAAGGAGTTATATACTTGAATGATGGAATTGTCCAGTGGCGCTTTAGTTTCCAGTCATTCTCTTACTGATTTCTGTTCACAGTAATGACAACAGTTATTGATATTCTACGAGTTCGACTATTCCACATGGATGTTTGTCTTACTTTCTTTTCATTAAGTCAATATTTTAGTGAAGGAATAAGTGCAGTTGGATGAAATTGTACCAACTGCTCTTCCTAATGCTATCGACCGTGAAAATGACAGAAAACCAATATTGAATACATTGACCTGATTATGAAATCGTTTGTAAAACGTGTTCAGGAATATTATCTAGTCTGCCTAGCAAAGACGGAATGTGTATGTCTATATTTTGATGTGGTTGTGTTTTCTGAGCTGGATAGTTAATTCACGAAGCTTTCATCGCCCCAGCACTAGGCGACGTCTTCAGCGCCCATACTTCAATTTGAGTTGAAGTGAGCGCTTTTAGATTTCTCCACGAGTTTATTAATCATCTCTCCTGGTCGGTGACCTTGAAAACCGTGATTGGTTGTTTTTGTGTGTTTTTACACCTTCTAGGTTACTTGTATTGGAACTGATTGTTTCTTTGACTTGAACTTTGACCCTTTGTGTGATAGATTTCCTTCTTCTCGGTTGGTAAATTTTGTCTATCTTGATGTGTCTATTGATTGATGATTCACTGGAATCCTAGGCAGCCTTCTAAAAATTCTCTAGCATTCTTGGTATTTCCTCTGTCTAATATCTGAACACTGGTTGTCCCAGTCGAACTGATGTCTGTGGTTGTCTGTATGTAGTGATATGAGCAAGGGAGTGGATGTCATGTCTTTTGATGGTTAGCTTATGTTCTTGGATACGAAGATGAAGTGGACGTCCACTTTGGTCAATGAAGTGTTTTTCACAGTTGTTGATTTTATCTGATTGAGTGTAGTGATTTTGTTGGTTTGTGTGTGTGACGTCAGTGCCTAGACGTTTAGAAAGTCTTTCAGTGATTTCTGAGACATCCTTTATATATGGTAAGGCGATTTTCTTTGTGCTTTCCTTGGGTGCTTTCGGTTTCATAGGTTGGCTTGAGGGTATATGTCTTTTGATGAAATTCCCTGGATATGCATTCTTTTGGAAGACGTTCATGAGATATCTTTCTTCAATTTTCCTTAAGGTGGGAGTGCTGCAATGAGTTCAATTCCAAGTCAAAGAAACAATCAGTTCCAATACAGGTAGTAGCCTAGAGGGTGTGAAAACACACAAAAACAACCAATCACGGCGTTCAAAGTCACCCACCAGGAGAGATGATTAATAAAGTCGTGGAGAAATCTAAAAGCTTACTTCAATTCAAATTGAAGTATGGGCGCTGAAGACGTCGCCTAGTGCTGGGGCGACGAAAGCTTCGCTGAGAAAGCGCAATCACATCAAAATCCTCTACCTGAGCTAGAAATTTACTCTATAATATCTATGTCTGTATTTACATCACAGAAGAAATCATAGACGCGGGACATTCAGTTGCATTTTTCAGAAATCCTTTATGGTCACATACAACAACAATTTGGTCAGACTTCTCAAAATAAATGAGGTAAAGATATCTAAGTAATGCTATCGAAAAAATGTAGGCTAATAGTACAACTTACGTTTTCATAACGGCCATCATTCACGATCTGCTTTGTCAATAACAAAAAATTATTATTATCGAATTGTATGTTTTAACTGAACTTATTATTATATTATTATTGTTCCCTTGGCTTCCGAGTAGAACATAGGGCTTCAAAACACACATCGACGCTTTGATCTGTTTCCTGCTGTCCTCTTCAGCTTGAACCACAGCCGCCCACAATCCCTCATCTCCTTCACGTCACCCTCGCACCGACGGACCACATGTGTCGTGTTTCACATTTACCTTCGACTCAGTCGATGGTCTGGTATTCAGCACAATGTCATCCGACGACCTTCTCAGTGTTTGCCCGACTTATCTTTTTTTTTCCTACATATTTGTTGAGCAATTGGCTCTTGGTTGAATTGTCACCAGCCAGAGTGTTCCTTGCTGCTATTTCTTTCTGCCCAGCTGGCCATCATCTGATCTTCAGTATGGAACCAGAAAAGTTGGCAGTTGTTGGTAAAATTCTGCAGTGGGCTATTAAAAAAAATACTTTACAATACTCGTCAGCCAATTTTCTCACCCATATAGAAGACCTTGTTTCACATGTGTATTAAGAATCTGAATCCCGTTGTTTTTACAGTCTGAGTACAATGCAGAGGATTTGCAAATTGGCTACAGGTTGAAGAAGACGTATTTTGCGCCTTTCCAGCACTCGCAAGCTTTAACTTTTTCATCCGCTTCTCCTGTGACTGAAACAAATGCTCCCTAGATAAGTGAATGAAGTAACCTCTTTCATATCTTTCCAGTTGACGGTGTGATTACTGCTGGTTGTTCTTGCTGTTGTTGCTGTTGGTTGGTCTGTTATCTTCATCACGGTCATCTTCTCTGTGTGCTTCACCTTGAGTCCTGTCTTCGCCGGCTGCTTCTTCAACTGGTCTGTAAGTCTTCGAGTTTTTTCAGGCTTTACACACAAATCATCCATCCTTGAAATCTAGGTCTTCCAGAGTCTTCTCATTGGTTGTCCAGCGTACTCCTGTCTGATGTGGTTTTGTTCTCTGAGCTGGATGGTTAGTTTGCGAAGCTTTCATCACCTTACTGGGTGACATCTTCAGCGCCCATACTTCAATTTGAAGGGAGCTTTTAGATTTCTCCACGAGTTTATTAATCATTCCTCCTGGTGACCTTGAACGTCGTGATTGGCTTTTTTTGTGTGTTTTCACACCCTCTAGGCTACTTGCATTGGAACTGATTACTTCTTTGACTTGAACTTTGACCCTATGTGTGCGTGTGAAGTTTCTTTCTTATTGGTTGATAAATTTTGTCTATGTCGATGTGTCTATTGATTGATGATCCACTGGAATGCCAAGCTTCTAAAAATTCTCTAGCATTCTTGTTATTTCCTTTGTCTAATATTTGAACGTTGTCCCAGTCGAATTGATGTCCGTGGTTGTCTGTATGTAGTAATATGAGCGGGGAGTGGATATCATGTCTTTTGACGGCTAGCTTATGTTCGTGGATACGAAGACGAAGGGGACGTCCACTTTGGCCGATGTAGTGTTTTTCGCAGTTGTTACAATTTATTTTGTAGATGATGTTGGTTTTATCTTCTTTCGCTGTTGAGTCTTTTGGTTGACATAGAATTGAGTGAAGCGACTTTGTTGGTTTGTGTACGACGTCAACTCCTAAAGGTTTGAAGAGTCTTGTAGTG